AAAAGAAAAGGAATAGATATAAAAATCCGGCTCTGACTTCATAAGTTGACGTCATTGTTAGAAAAACGCCGTTAAATATCATATATAAACGTTATGTAAAATTTCGTATGGGGACATACACATTTATTTATATACTGAATTTATGTTTTGGATGCTTTTTACCAATGTAACTAATGTATAAATTGAAAGTTAATCAATCATTTACCAATTTATAACTGTTTTCAGTTGGTTCCTTCAATTTCCTCGAGATTCAATTGAATACGTATTTGTGAAGAAGAGATTAACACTTTACTTTGGCTTCTTTTTGTTGCGGGCACTGAGCTATACATCCTATATAAGTCCTGAAGAAGTTTTACTTTATCGTTTGAAGTGAAAAATATTTGAATCTACATATGAAATTAATAAAAAAAAATCAAAATTCTCTGCTCTATAGATTTTCATGAATGGAGTCTTAAATATATCTATGATAAATGCACCGTATCAAATGCATATAATATATGATATATGAGAACAACTACTTATAAACTGTTAAACTATGTGGTGTAGAGACATGCATCATGAATCTAAGTTCTAAAAGCTTTCTTTCACAGACTCTATACTAAATTCATTACAACTTGTAATTTTTGATAATTAAGTTTTTGAATATTTTTTGTGATCACTTTGGTTTCAAAGACTTTCAGTACGCTAGTCGTAATCACTAAGCGGGCAAGACATTTCAACCAGTCTACGATTGTTTATAAATCTTCGAAACATAGATTCATGTATATGGCGACTATACCCTTCTTAAGTTCTTACCGTTATCGTCAAATTCAATATTTCTGAATTTATGTTTTGGATGCTTTTTACCATTACATATGGAATTTATATAATTTAAAGCTTTTAGCAAAGCAAGCGAACTAATCATAAACTTCAAAAAATTTTGGGGCCTTTTTTAGATTACTATGCTGTATGGATTTTGCTCAATGTTGAAGGCCGTACGGTGACCTGTAGTTGTTAACTTCAACGTCATTTGGTCCCTGGTGGAGATCATACCACATTTTCTTATTTTTATAAAATCATAGCCACTTAAGAGGGTGGTAAAGGGTTATTTTCGTGCAACGTGTTTTGCCATTTTTATTTCACGTGCAGCCGTGAAAAGGGTTCGTTATTCATGTGTTTCGTGAAATCGGTAAAAAGATCAACGTGCAAGACATTTTTAATTGTTCGTTCATCGTGAAATGGCAATTTTATTTCGCGTTCTTCGGTGCAGATACCCCCCCCCCCCCTTTTACGCCCCTCACTTAATACCCCCCTCCCATCATATATTATTTTCAACGCTTTTGTCTACATAAATTTGTCACGAACCGTAAAATACTGTAGGTTCCATAAGAATACAAGCTTCTTAGATGGATTTAAAGAAATAAAATGCATTTTTTTTTTAGAAATTTCTAATTTGTGGGCGGGGATGTTATATTTATCTTTTTAATACTGGTTAATGAAATCAATTCAGTGTGTACTGGCTGGTCATTATCGCGTATGATACGGTTTTGACACGCCTACATACCTGTTGAATATGCATGACTATAGATAAGAACAGCACGTGTAGCCTAAAACTGAGAGTTGAGTTGTAGATTTGTAGCATAACTGTACATATGTAGTTTTGAAAATACAAAATAGTTACAAAGATATAGTTTTTAAAAATTAATAATCCGAGCAAGTAAAACACGGATCTTTCATGGTAGAGGACCTAAAGTTATATTTTGAATTGTTATGTTTTGTATATTAATATTCTGATCGGTGAACTTTAATTGTTTAGAAAAACACTATGCACAACGGTAAGATACAACTTTAATTTCGTAGCAGTTGCTGAAATCAGTTCACAATGGCTTGTTTTTCTCCAGGAAGTATTAACGTTTTTTCTTTTGATTTACATGGATTTTTGCTGATTGTATAACATTTCGGAATCTGTTAATTAATATCGGAGGTGCTATCGTCGGACCAGCACGGTGATTAAAACAATTACGTGAGACATATTTGCTAACCATAATTTTTCAACTAATATATATAGTGGGAACTATATTAATAAAGCAGTGGGATTTCAATATTATCATGGAAGTGCATCTAAACAAGTGAGACATATTAGCCAACCATAACATTTCAGGAACTTTATATACAGCAACGGAATTTTCAATAGTATTATGGACATGTATCTTTATTATTTCTAAACTTTACATTTAACGATGGATTTGCATCTTCATATTAGAAGTAGGACGGCTTACCAAACACTCTGGAATTTTGCGCTTTATCTACTAGTGCCAAATTATTTCTAAATATGAAAAAACGATAACCGCTCAGCTGTTTAATATTGGATTAAGTGTATGTTTTTTTTAACCCGTTTGCTCCGATGATAATGTGATTTTATTTTTGTGTGTGAAAATTGTTTCGCCACAACCAACATTGTTTCATATGTTTCTTACTGATCTGTGTGTGAGAATTGCCTCGCCACAGCTAGTCAAGATGAAAAGTTTATACTTGTGTGTGAGAATTGCCTCGCCACAGCTAGTCAAGATAAAAAGTTTATTCTTGTGTGTGAGAATTGCCTCGCCACAAGATTCTGAAATTGAGTGTGTGAAAATTGTCTCGCCACTCCTTATAGATGTACCTTAAATTAATACCAAAACCCCAGATACCACAGATGACGATGGAAGAATATTTTTGTGATAATATTAAATAACTTTGACATTTTGTTGATATCATTTGTGTTAATTGATTTACATTGAACTGTTAGTGACATTTACTTCATTTGTGTATTATATTTGATCTTATTGAAATTTTTTTTGCATGCTTATATATAATTATATAGGGCTACACGTGACTGCATTTAGAAGTACTATTATATTTGTTGTTAATACTGAAATCGTGCTGATAAGGTTATATTTAAAAGTTATTTTTTGCTATTTGAGTGACTTATTGTATTAGGAATATTTGGTGAAATCAAATGATAGAAGAGGTAAAAAGTGTAATAGTGGCCAAAAATTGGTGGCCGGGATTTTGTTATAGTGGCCAAAAATTGGTGGCCAGGATTTTGTTAGAGGGGCCAAAAATTGATGGCCGGTATTTTGTTATAATGACCAAAAATTGGTGGCCGGGATTTGGTATAGTGGCCAAAAATTGGTGGCCGGGATTTCGTTATAGGGGTCAAAAATTGGTGGCCGGGATTTTGTTAAATGTTTAAACGTTGAACAACAGATGTAGTAGCGCAAAAGATGTTATGCTAGAAATAACCTTTGTTTTCATATATTAATATCTATTTTGACTGAATGTTGTGTGAATCTTTAAATCTACTGATCATAGAATATAATAGTGATTATGTGAGTGAATGATAATAGACTAGTTATTATTATTTGAAATATATTAAGAGTCACGGGTCTCTGCTAGTGTCATCACTTTGAAACATGTATGTTTAATTTGAAAGCTACAATTTATGCATCGCAGGTGTTCACTTGAGCAAAGTTGACAGTTGTAATCTGTCGTGCTCTTGGAAGTATCCGTTAGATAAACAAGTGAAAGTTTAATGGTCAAGATTTTACGACCGCTGGTATCGAACATCTGCGTCTGAATATTCACAGAGATATTAATGGTGTTGTGGTTTCTTGTGTAATGAGTTATAATGAGCTTTGGTGGTTAGATTTGTTGATTTGTAACCATAAAATTTATGCACACTTGTCATTTTGATAAATCAGATAAACAGAATTTCCGTTTCAAAAATTGAAAATAAAACTGTAAGTGAATTACACTGGTCATTAAGTTTAAACCATGATCATTGATTCTAATTAAAGAATGTTTTATAGTTTTCTGTTTTCATATACATTTTGACGTAATATTTTTTTTACTGCATATTTTAACGAAGAGAAGAAACCTTTTATTCTAGATCTTTCAAAACTTTCTTGTTTATTTTTAGTATCCACATTTCGCAGTTACTAAATTTAAAACATAGTATTTTAATGAGAACTTTTGGTTTTTTTTTTAATGTGTGTATATTAAAGTACAGTTTATTTGCATATAGATTGTTTCAGATTTTTTTTTAGTTATTATTCATAATTTTTATATTTACAGATTTCATCTACCAGTAAGAAATTTTTAGAAATTTCTAAATTGTGGGCGGGGATGTTATATTTATCTTTTTAATACTGGTTAATGAAATCAATACAGTGTGTACTGGCTGGTCATTATCGCGTATGATACGATTTTGACACGCCTACATACCTGTTGAATATGCATGACTATAGATAAGAACAGCACGTGTAGCCTAAAACTGAGAGTTGAGTTGTAGATTTGTAGCATAACTGTACATATGTAGTTTTGAAAATACAAAATAGTTACAAAGATATGGTTTTTAATATTAATAATCCGAGCAAGTAAAACACGGATCTTTCACTAAACTAGGGACAGTCGTTTGGTACAAAACGATTGACGTGAACATATGCGATGTACAGTTACTGCATAGATAAGTAAACATAAGAGACCAGACACAGTATTTATCATAAAAGTCCAAAGATGTCGTAAAATAGGTTTGCATCGTAGATTTAAAATATGTTAGTAATTAACTTTTAGGTGCAGTTCAAAGATTTTGAAAAGGGTGGGATACCATGACAACGTTAGGAGTGGCATTTAAAAAAAGTTTATGCATTTACCATATATGTAGCTGCTGCCCACCACCCCCAAAACTAAAAGAAAGGGAATTGATATAAAAATCCGCCTCTGACTTCATAAGTTGACGTCATTGTTAGAAAAACGCCGTTAAATATCATATATAAACGTTATGTAAAATTTCGTATGGGGACATACACATTTATTTATATACTGAATTTATGTTTTGGATGCTTTTTACCAATGTAACTAATGTATAAATTGAAAGTAAATCAATCATTTACCAATTTATAACTGTTTTCAGTTGGTTCCTTCAATTTCCTCGAGATTCAATTGAATACGTATTTGTGAAGAAGAGATTAACACTTTACCTTGGCTTCTTTTTGTTGCGGGCACTGAGCTATACATCCTATATAAGTCCTGAAGAAGTTTTACTTTATCGTTTGAAGTGAAAAATATTTGAATCTACATATGAAATAAATAAAAAAAAATCAAAATTCTCTGCTCTATAGATTTTCATGAATGGAGTCTTAAATATATCTATGATAAATGCACCGTATCAAATGCATATAATATATGATATATGAGAACAACTACTTATAAACTGTTAAACTATGTGGTGTAGAGGCATGCATCATGAATCTAAGTTCTAAAAGCTTTCTTTCACAGACTCTATACTAAATTCATTACAACTTGTAATTTTTGATAATTAAGTTTTTGAATATTTTTTGTGATCACTTTGGTTTCAAAGACTTTCAGTACGCTAGTCGTAATCACTAAGCGGGCAAGACATTTCAACCAGTCTACGATTGTTTATAAATCTTCGAAACACAGATTCATGTATATGGCGACTATACCTTTCTTTAATTCTTACCATAACGTCAAATTCAATATTTCTGAATTTATGTTTTGGATGCTTTTTACCATTACATATGGAATTTATATAATTTAAAGCTTTTAGCAAAGCAAGCGAACTAATCATAAACTTCAAAAAATGTTGGGGCCTTTTTTAGATTACTATGCTGTATGGATTTTGCTCAATGTTGAAGGCCGTACGGTGACCTGTAGTTGTTAACTTCAACGTCATTTGGTCTCTGGTGGAGATCATACCACATCTTCTTATTTTTATAAAATCATAGCCACTTAAGAGGGTGGTAAAGGGTTATTTTCGTGCAACGTGTTTTGCCATTTTTATTTCACGTGCAGCCGTGAAAAGGGTTCGTTATTCATGTGTTTCGTGAAATCGGTAAAAAGATCAACGTGCAAGACATTTTTAATTGTTCGTTCATCGTGAAATGGCAATTTTATTTCGCGTTCTTCGGTGCAGATACCCCCCCCCCCTTTTACGCCCCTCACTTAATACCCCTCTCCCATCATATATTATTTTCAACGCTTTTGTCTACATAAATTTGTCACGAACCGTAAAATACTGTAGGTTCCATAAGAATACAAGCTTCTTAGATGGATTAAAAGAAATAAAATGCATTTTTTTTAGAAATTTCTAATTTGTGGGCGGGGATGTTATATTTATCTTTTTAATACTGGTTAATGAAATCAATACAGTGTGTACTGGCTGGTCATTATCGCGTATGATACGATTTTGACACGCCTACATACCTGTTGAATATGCATGACTATAGATAAGAACAACACGTGTAGCCTAAAACTGAGAGTTGAGTTGTAGATTTGTAGCATAACTGTACATATGTAGTTTTGAAAATACAAAATAGTTACAAAGATATAGTTTTTAATATTAATAATCCGAGCAAGTAAAACACGGATCTTTCATGGTAGAGGACCTAAATTAAGTTATATTTTGAATTGTTAAGTTTTGTATATTAATATTCTGATCGGTGCACTTTAATTGTTTAAAAAAACACTATGCACAACGGCAAGATACAACTTTAATTTCGTAGCAGTTGCTGAAATCAGTTCACAATGGCTTGTTTTTCTCCAGGAAGTATTAACGTTTTTTCTTTTGATTAACATGGATTTTTGCTGATTGTATAACATTTCGGAATCTGTTAATTAATATCGGAGGTGCTATCGTCGGACCAGCACGGTGATTAAAACAATTACGTGAGACATATTTGCTAACCATAATTTTTCAACTAATATATATATTGGGAACTATATTAATAAAGCAGTGGGATTTCAATATTATCATGGAAGTGCATCTAAACAAGTGAGACATATTAGCTAACCATAACATTTCAGGAACTTTATATACAGCAACGGAATTTTCAATAGTATTATGGACATGTATCTTTATTATTTCTAAACTTTACATTTAACGATGGATTTGCATCTTCATATTAGAAGTAGGACGGCTTACCAAACACTCTGGAATTTTGCGCTTTATCTACTAGTGCCAAATTATTTCTAAATATGAAAAAACGATAACCGCTCAGCTGTTTAATATTGGATCAAGTGTATGTTTTTTTTTTAACCCATTTGCTCCGATGATAATGTGATTTTATTTTTGTGTGTGAAAATTGTTTCGCCACAACCAACATTGTTTCATATGTTTCTTACTGATCTGTGTGTGAGAATTGCCTCGCCACAGCTAGTCAAGATGAAAAGTTTATACTTGTGTGTGAGAATTGCCTCGCCACAGCTAGTCAAGATAAAAAGTTTATTCTTGTGTGTGAGAATTGCCTCGCCACAAGATTCTGAAATTGAGTGTGTGAAAATTGTCTCGCCACTCCTTATAGATGCACCTTAAATTAATACCAAAACCACGGATACCACAGATGACGATGAAAGAATATTTTTGTGATAATATTAAATAACTTTGACATTTTGTTGATATCATTTGTGTTAATTGATTTACATTGAACTGTTAGTGACATTTACTTCATTTGTGTATTATATTTGATCTTATTGAAATTTTTTTTGCATGCTTATATATAATTATATAGGGCTACACGTGACTGCATTTAGAAGTACTATTATATTTGTTGTTAATACTGAAATCGTGCTGATATGGTTATATTTAAAAGTTATTTTTTGCTATTTGAGTGACTTATTGTATTAGGAATATTTGGTGAAATCAAATGATAGAAGAGGTAAAAAGTGTAATAGTGGCCAAAAATTGGTGGCCGGGATTTTGTTATAGTGGCCAAAAATTGGTGGCCAGGATTTTGTTAGAGGGGCCAAAAATTGGTGGCCGGTAGATGTAGTAGCGCAAAAGATGTTATGCTAGAAATAACCTTTGTTTTCATATATTAATATCTATTTTGACTGAATGTTGTGTGAATCTTTAAATCTACTGATCATAGAATATAATAGTGATTATGTGAGTGAATGAGAATAGACTAGTTATTATTATTTGAAATATATTAAGAGTCACGGGTCTCTGCTAGTGTCATCACTTTGAAACATGTATGTTTAATTTGAAAGCTACAATTTATGCATCGCAGGTGTTCACTTGAGCAAAGTTGACAGTTGTAATCTGTCGTGCTCTTGGAAGTATCCGTTAGATAAACAAGTGAAAGTTTAATGGTCAAGATTTTACGACCTCTGGTATCGAACATCTGCGTCTGAATATTCACAGAGATATTAATGGTGTTGTGGTTTCTTGTATAATGAGTTATAATGAGCTTTGGTGGTTAGATTTGTTGATTTGTAACCATAAAATTTATGCACACTTGTCATTTTGATAAATCAGATAAACAGAATTTCCGTTTAAAAAATTGAAAATGAAACTGTAAGTGAATTACACTGGTCATTAAGTTTAAACCATGATCATTGATTCTAATTAAAAAATGTTTTATAGTTTTCTGTTTTCATACACATTTTGACGTAATATTTTTTTTACTGCATATTTTAACGAAGAAAAAGAAACCTTTTATTCTAGATCTTTCAAAACTTTCTTGTTTATTTTTAGTATCCACATTTCGCAGTTACTAAATTTAAAACATAGTATTTTAATGAGAACTTTTGGTTTTTTTTTTAATGTGTGTATATTAAAGTACAATTTATTTGCATAAATATTGTTTCAGATTTTTTTTTAGTTATTATTCATAATTTTTATATTTACAGATTTCATCTACCAGTGAGAAATTTTTAGAAATTTCTAAATTGTGGGCGGGGATGTTATATTTATCTTTTTAATACTGGTTAATGAAATCAATACAGTGTGTACTGGCTGGTCATTATCGCGTATGATACGATTTTGACACGCCTACATACCTGTTGAATATGCATGACTATAGATAAGAACAGCACGTGTAGCCTAAAACTGAGAGTTGAGTTGTAGATTTGTAGCATAACTGTACATATGTAGTTTTGAAAAAACAAAATAGTTACAAAGATATAGTTTTTAATATTAATAATCCGAGCAAGTAAAACACGGATCTTTCACTAAACTAGGGACAGTCGTTTGGTACAAAACGATTGACGTGAACATATGCGATGTACAGTTACTGCATAGATAAGTAAACATAAGAGACCAGACACAGTATTTATCATAAAAGTCCAAAGATGTCGTAAAATAGGTTTGCATCGTAGATTTAAAATATGTTAGTAATAAACTTTTAGGTGCAGTTCAAAGATTTTGAAAAGGGTGGGATACCATGACAATGTTAGGAGTGGTATTTAAAAAAAGTTTATGCATTTACCATATATGTAGCTGCTGCCCACCATCCCCAAAATTAAAAGGAAAGGAATAGATATAAAAATCCGCCTGACTTTAAAAGTTGACGTCATTGTTAGAAAAACGCCGTTAATTATCATATATAAACGTTATGTAAAATTTCGTATGGGGACATACACATTTATTTATATACTGAATTTATGTTTTGGATGCTTTTTACCAATGTAACTAATGTATAAATTGAAAGTAAATCAATCATTTACCAATTTATAACTGTTTTCAGTTGGTTCCTTCAATTTCCTCGAGATTCAATTGAATACGTATTTGTGAAGAAGAGATTAACACTTTACCTTGGCTTCTTTTTGTTGCGGGCACTGAGCTATACATCCTATATAAGTCCTGAAGAAGTTTTACTTTATCGTTTGAAGTGAAAAATATTTGAATCTACATATGAAATTGATACAAAAAAAATCAAAATTCTCTGCTCTATAGATTTTCATAAATGGAGATTAAAATATATCTATGATAAATGCACCGTATCAAATGCATACAATATATCATATATCAGAACAACTACTTATAAACTGTTAAACTATGTGGTGTAAAGACATGCATCATGAATCTAAGTTCTGAAAGCTTTCTTTGACAGACACTATACTAACTTCATTACAACTTGTAATTTTTGATAATTAAGTTTTTGAATATTTTTTGTGATCACTTTGGTTTCAAAGATTTTCAGTACGCTAGGCATAATCACTAAGCGGGCAAGACATTTCAGCCAGTCTACTATTGTTGATAAAGCTTCGGAACACAGATGCATGTATATGGCGACTATACCAGAATGAAAATTTGTGTACGTAAAGAAGATATAAAAATACAATATTGACTTATATTCATATTAATACATGATTTAGGACGTGTACCTGCTCCGCTTATACAGTTAAAACATCCCAAACATGGACGAAATGCTTAAGTTTATGGTACACATAAACTACTACTAGAGGGTGTTTAACAACCTTGACTACCCATGAGGGTTCGCACAGTCGGTCGACACATATGCGATATGGTATATAAAAATCTAATGATAATGGGTTCCCTAGATTTTAAGGCTTTCTGTTCTGTATGAGTATAGACATGTATCCAACTACTTGCAAACATGTTTCTTTTTATCAGAAACCTAATAGAATTGTGTACGTATACGAGTTTAAAAACAAAGTGCATCTTTTAACTGGGTCAAGCAGTCTATATAGATAATTTAAAGTGTAAAGCTCTTCAATGCATTTTTGAATCTAATTTTAGTCAATGAGTGTCCATAATTCAAAAGTACAGAAACTAGAATAAAGATAAACGAAAAGACGAAGAACCGTCTGTCATTTCATCTAATTTATATTTATAAACATTAAAAAAGTCTTATCCAATGTTAATTTGTTATTTAAATTGTACGTGTTGACAGGAAATGTTTATTTTCTATTTATAAAATGTTGAATTATTCAAAACATTAAGGTCTTCTATTCCGAGCCTATATTGGCTTAGTCGTATTTGGAACAACTTTTCGGAATTTCCGTATTTAATTTGGGCTTTTAACTGTTTTAACTCGAACGCCACTGATGAGTCTCGTGTAGACGAAACGCGCGTCTGTCGCACTTTAAAATTATCAGCCTGGTATCTTTGATGGTTTTTTTAAGATAAGAGTTATAGTTTCATCAGATTGTCTTTGCTGAAATTTAAAATTGAAGGAATGAGTGTTTTCACTGTTGTTAGATCTTAAATATTGTCTTCATCATTACAAACATTAATATTGTTTTCATCATTACAAACATTGATTTTGTTTTTGATAAATTAATACATACCTTAATATGTATGCTAAACAGTTTGTATTTACATTGTATCATAGATCAAATTTATTTGTTCAGTGTATGTTCACTGGTGTTAATATGTCTTTTGATAGAGTTAAACCATTTCAATTGATATTTTATAGTGTGTCTATCTATGTTGTGAAGTTACACTATTGTTTCAGATCAGGGTGAAGGTTTGGTACCATTAAAACGTTTAAACCCGCTGCAATTGTTTGCAACTGTCCAAAGTCAGGAATCTGATGTTCAGTAGTTGTCATTTGTTGATGTGGTTCATAAGTGTTTCTCGTTTTTTATATAGATTAGACCGTTGGTTTTCCCGTTTGAATGGTTTTACATTAGGCATGTTAACATATTCAATTCTTTGGGGCCCTTTATAGCTTGCTGTTTGGTGTGAGCCAAGGCTCCGTGCTGAAGACCGTACTTTGACCTATAATGGTTTACTTTTATAAATTGTGACTTGGATGGAGAGTTGTCTCATTGACACTTTTACCACATCTTCTTATATCTATGAACACTTTTGGTCCTACATCTTGTAGATACTTATATTTTGACATTGCAAAACTCCATGCTTTTCATAAACTGTTTATGATGGTTTTTTTTAAACTAAATCAATTAGAAGTGTATAAACTGACATTCTAGTCTGCATGGGAAAATAGGGTTTATTTGTTAGTTTGAATTGGCTTTGATGTATCTTCCAGTAACTTCGAGTACTTTTAGATCAATACTTTTTTTTATATTTTTGTCAGTTTTTTTTTTCGTAGGTTAGTATCTAGCTTTTTTCAATTAATTTTAGTAGTTTGTTGTTATTTTATGCTGTTACATTACTGTTCCAGGTTAGGAGGGTTGTTTTGCGCTCACAAACACGTTTAGCCCTGTCACATTAACTATGTGCTTGTCTCAGTTCTGGAGCCTGTAATTCAGTGGTTGCCGTTGATTAATATCTATCATACCGCTATTTGTTTTTCGTAAATTGTATTGTTATGAATTAGGTCATTAGTTTTTCTCGTTTGGTTTGTTTCACATTTTTCATGTCAGGACCTTCATAGCTGACTAGCTATAAGGTATGGGTTTTTCTCATTGTTGAAGGCCTGATTGTTACCTATAATTGCTTATATCTTCGTCATTTGAACTCTGGTGAATAGTTGTCTCATTGACAATCGAACCACATGTCCTTATTTTTATACTGTTTTCATTGAATTTCCTGCGACATTGACATTTATGCTAATTTTGACGTCATGTAAGGAACGCTAATATATACAAAAATACGAAGATGTGGTATGATTGCCAATAAGTAAAGCCCATACCGCTTAGCCAGCTATACAAGGCCCCGAAATGACAAATGTAAATTAATTCAAACGAGAAAACTGACGACCTAATAACTGAACAAAATAATGAAAGAAAAACAAATATGTTACACAGTAACAAACGAAAACCACTGAATTACAGGCTCTTGACTTGGGACAGGTACATACAGAATGTGGCGGGGTTAAACTAGTTTGAAGGCGCCAACCCTCCCCTAACGTGGGAAAGTGGTGTAACAGTACAACATAAGAACAAACTATAAAACTCATCAGATGGATACAAATAGAAATACATCTAACAAAAACACAGAGTGGATGTGGTATGGTATTTATACATCCCCACAACAAAAAGACACTAAGTACAGATCTGAGATTACTCGCAGTTACTGACAGCTAGTTCAAAGCCAATAACAACTAATAAAAAAAATCATACATATAAGGCTAATATATTCCTTTTCCAAAATAGGCCAGGAGAAGAGTTATTTCCTATCTTATAATTGTTTTAACTATGATACATTGCAATAATGGACATACAATTCTAGTTTGAAATATAAGCTTGAAATAACTAAAGGATCATAGTTTGGGCCTCATCAAACCTACTTCTTTGATGCCCCTATCCAAGTCTAAATGTCCCAACCGTGACCATAATTTACCCTCTTTGCAAAAACTGCATAATTGATTTAGTATTTGAATTGATCTGTCATTAATATTCTTGAAGTATTTGCCACTTAACATTAAACTTAAGGTGTTTGAAAAGTAAGTTTACTTGTACCGGGTATTTGTACTCCAAAATTTCTAACCAAGGTATCAGAATGTGTTGTATGTTTCATAATATAATATCAGATATGTGACGAAGATTTATTTGTGAAAAACAATTACAATACTTGCCGAAATGTTTATTGGTTTTACCTTATAAATACACCATTAGAATGAAAATAACACTTTATGGATGAGAAGACACGTTAGTAGCCATAAGGGGCCTAGAAATAAAAGCTAAATTCATGTAACGTAAACTTTGCACGAGAGAGTTAGAACCTTAATTTCTGAGATATTTCTTAATTTATCAACGGGGCATTTCCGATGAGTAAAATATAATGTGTCTTGACCGATATTTCGTTCCATACTTTCTCTTTTATGTGTGTTATGCAGGGAGGTTATGGAGGGTCCGAGTAAAACGATATATATCCGCAAGCAAACGGGATAAAAAGAAGATGGCGAAAATGGACATTGTGTCTACTGATCTGCAGTATTTGACAAAGTTCTTAGATATTTGGTACTGTATTATAAAAAGGTTTTGACACTAATAATGAGCTCGTGCAATATGATATACTACTCGGGACAATTTTCCTCAGTATTTTCGTGCAATATCCCTATAATGCCCGGTATTGCATTAATTATGTCATGGCAGGGAATGCGCAAGTTATGCGTAACAAGAAGTATTATACCGAATATTTTATAATTTTATGAACTGTGGCACGAATACAGTTTTACATATTTTTTTACGTTTCTACAGAGGAGTTTGGAATGAGGAAGAAGTTGCATGTTACCCTCCAATTAAATACAAAGAATGGACTCTTTTTCCTTGGCCACACTGGAAAGAGGACACTGACAAATATTTTGAACAACTCAAAAACTTTAAGTCTCGAGAGGATGATATCCTGCTCTGTACGGTTCAGAAAGGAGGTATTAAACTTAGTTATTTTTATTTATTTTTTTAAACAAATTGATCTTCTCATCTATTAGTCAGGTTAACATATTAGAGAGTGTTTTATGCTAGAGTTTATTATTGACAACATATTTGTTGAATTTGGAGGTAGACTTTTTAAACAAATTGTCGCCATTCCTATGGGTACGAACTCTCCTTGCTGACCTCTTCGTATTTTCATATGAGTCGGAGTTCCTTCAGACACTTGTCAAAAACAAGAAGATAAAAAAGTGAGATCATTTCACATTCAGATATATAGATGATATTCTTTCCATCAACAATCTAAACTTTTCTGATTGGGTTCCATTAATATATCCTCCAGAACTGAAAATTAAAGAAACAACAGACACGGCTTCCTCCACCTCATTTTTAGACTTATACCTCGAATTTGACAAAAGCTTTCGTCTTAGTACCAGAATCTAGGACGAACGGGACAATTTTAGTTTTGAAATTATAAATTTCAATTTCCCCCACCTTAACAGCAATATACCAACTTCACCTGCATATGGGATATATATTTCCCAACTCATTTGGTATTCAAGAGCTTGCAGCTGCTACTCAGACTTTAGTAAACGTCACCAGTGTCTGAGTAGAAAGTTGATGAACCAGGGTTATGTCAAAGAACGTCTCGTCCTTTTCCTAAAAAAGTTCATGGGAAGATACCAAGACCTTGTTGATAAATATTCCTTATCAACTTCACAAATAATACATGATGGTCTTGAAGTATAGATTCTAGGTCCTGACGTTGTTTATCATCTTACTTACGTGTAATAGTGTTTTTTTATTTGCCTTTGTTTATTTTTAACTTTTACTGTTTAGTCCATTTTTGGTAATATTCTTTTGGCGTGGCTCGGTAATTATACATTCCACCATTGTGTTATTGTGCTATGGTCATATTTTGTATTCTTGTCTTTCTTTTTGCTTATGTGCTTTGTCTATAGAGTGTCTATATGCCATTTTTGTTTTTCTTTGATGACATTGTTGTTTGTTTTTATAGTAATTAAGAAAGTAACACAATGTTGACTGCTGTACCCCAATTTTTGACATTTTTACCAATTATGTCTGTTTGTTTTGCTCACACATTGTTGTCATTATAATGGAATTCTATGCAACTGTCATACAAGTGAGATGTTTAGCTAGCTATAAACCCAGGTTTAACCCACCATTTTATACATAAGGAAATGCATGTACCAAGTCAGGAACATGACAGTTGTTTTCCATTCATTTGATGTGTTTGAGCTTTTGATTTTGCCATTTGTTAAAGAACTTTCCGTTTTGAAATTTCCTTGGAGTCCAGTATTTTTGTTATTTTACTTTTTATTGACTTGTTAATGAAAATTACGCTTGATAAATTTCATGAGTCCGAAGCACTTCTCTGGATTTACTTTCATTAGAAACTTCCAACTGAAACTTTTGAAAGCCAAGGATGTATAAATATATATAAAAGTGAGGGGCTATATGGCCAAAAGTGATTAAAAAGTAAAGTCAAATTCATCTTTGATCAACATTGCCTGAGGGGTTGGAACCTTAGTTTCCTAATAATGTCTTAATTTATCAACCGAAATATATGAAAAGTATGTTATTAATCACACCAAAACACAGACACTGAGCTGATGATAGCCATCGGGGACTAACAATCCACCAGCATGGTATTGACCCAGTGCTTGTACAATAAAATAACACCTTAAAAAGTTCGTGCATCGCGTTACAAGTGTTTTTTACTGGAGTAGGTACGATAATGTTCAAAAGTTGGGAACACTGAATTAAAATTTAAAATATCAAATGCAAGAAAACTAAGCAAGGTCATGAAATACACGTTAACTTGAAGATTCTTCTACAGTAATCTTTGACAGAATGAGTGAACACCAACACTATGAATTATTTAGGAAAACATGATTCATAATCACATAAACGGTACCTATTTTAGTGCACCTAATGCGCATTTCTACAATTAATGTCTCTTCAGTGATGCCCGAGGCCAAAATATTTTAATATCCCAAATCTAATACAAATGTTGAAGAACGGATCAAACCAAAATGAACCTAAAGAATAGACAAATGCGGACAAGGAGCTTTGCACGAGGGAGATATATTCCTTAATTGAAAATTACTTCCAAATTTTATAACAACAAACTGTTCCATTTATCTAACGTTGCACAGCGATTGAATTACATATTTAACGTTTGAAAATATCAATACCAAAAACTATCGTCTAGACTGAAATAAAAACAACTGAAGGAGTTGTTTTTCACTGATTTCATAGTTTTTAAACTGTGTCACCAAACACAAACATTTGCCTGCAAGAGCTACAAGATAAACAATTCCTCAAATACAAGTACCTATTAAAACACATTAAAATTATTGCTGTTCGGTGTGAGCCAAGGCTCCGTGTTGAAGGCCGTACTTTGACCTATAATGGTTTACTTTTACAAATTGTGACTTGGATGGAGTGTTGTCTCATTGGCACTCATACCACATCTTCTTATATCTATAGATCTTCAAAAACAAGCTAATACCGCGAACAATGCTTCTAATAAATTATAATGGAAGCGAAGAATTAGTAACCCATGGAAAGCAGTATTCCAGCAGTTGTATCGACTCAGGGATAGAAATTAAAATACCAAAATTTCGAATCCATTCCTAACAAAGAACTTTTCAGGAATGATCGTCACTTGTTTTTTTTTCATGAAAAAAATATGGAAAACCCACTTGTAAATACCTGCATTAACAGAATAACCGGGTTAAGTCATGTATGTCTAAAGTAAGAGGGTAGGTTGAATCATGTCACACGTTAATTTACATTCCTGTTTGCAGATGGACCCCTTAAGCATTTATAAGAAACCAAATTTATGACATGAAACATCATAGTTGTGATAATTTTCTGTGAATTTAATGTACATGAATCGAAATAGTAATTGATTCGGTCTTCCAACTGAATGTGGATTGAACGCGCATTTGGTGTACTACATGATAACCCGGATGTCTTTGATTATTTTATACAACCACTGGGTTGATAACAATTTTGGTGTACGTTTCGACCGCAAATGTATCACCAGACTTAGAAGTAATCACCGCTGTGTTGATGTAACATAGCCTAAATGCGTTTTTGTACATTTACTGTTCATTGGATGTTAAAATCATTCTTAACAATAAGATTTTCTCTCCACATGCATAAATGACTAAAGCCACACTTAGCACAACTTTCGGAAATTTTGGTTTTCAATGTTTTTCAACTTCGTTTTTGATTCTGATTTGGTTCGAGTATCACCGATGAGTCTTATGTAGAAGAAACGTGCGCCTGGCATACTAAATAAGCCTTGTATCTTTGGTTTTTCTTCTGAACTCTTAGCATATTCATCTCTTATATTAATAAAATAACTAAATAAGATATTCATAACAAATATAAAAATTTGCATTTGTATTTTCGTTGCTGTATATATATTAACATCATCTGATTATGGTATTTCAAGCCAATTAGTGATATATTAACCATGCAATAGTGTTGTTTCGTTTCGTGGGTGCTTTCACGGATGAGTTACTTGTACTACAAATAAACACGCATACAATTGACTCGGTTGTTTCGGTTTTGCTCAGTTAACCCTTTTAGATTTATAGAATAACTAATCGAAGAATTCAAATAGAGAAAAATATTCAACGAGTGACCGAACAACACATTAATTCACGAATGCGCGTAGTGCATGAGTTAATTATCAGTGTTGTTCGGTCACGAGTTGAATATTTTTCGATATTTGAATTCTTTGATTAGTTATTCTTTTCATTACATTGGCAAATGGCTTTTTTTAATGAAATTAATGTAGAAAATGTAAGGAACTATATCTTTTTTCTACGCACTCACAATTTGTTTTGATCCGACGTTATCGACGTCTTGACAACGCCTATTGTTGTATGACGTCAGAGAGTGAATTAACCACGTTTATTTCACATGTGAAATTATCGGTTTTTATTTGACTGGGAAATCAATGTATTCAATGCTATCAATGTAATAATACTTAATATCACAAGAGAGAATGGGAGTGAGATGCCTTGTTTATTATTATAAATTTTGATGCTGTTTTTATTGTGTATGTTTGATATGTATGTATATATGTTTATTGTGTTAATACATGTTGGTCACAAACTGTACAGTTTATACGACAATAAAATATTTTATTTGATTTGATTTGATTAATATATTACTTTCTGACCACCTTCACCTTTTTATTTTTTAGATTACAAATTCTACTCGTTTATGTTAATGTCTTTTTAAATAAAAAGAGTTTAGATAAATACAATTACAAAAATAATCGACACTTTATCTAACTTTTCATTTATATATCCGTTGTAAAATTTTAATTGACGAAACTGCCATCTAGAAACAATGTTGTTTTAACAACTTAAAAAAACAAGAAAACTCGTTTAACAAATATTCATTATTTCAGGTTCACATTGGGTTCATGAAATTGTTTGCATGCTGGTTGACCAAACGACGAAATATAACAGCAGAGGAAGTTCATTGGACGATGTTCATTTAGATACTATGACTGATTTTGATTCTTTGGAGAAGGAGACGAAAAGACGAATTATACACACACATTTACCATTTCAATGTATTCCATCACAGCACATGGAGAAAAAAGGGAAAACTATTTTTGTCAACAGAAACCCAAAAGATCGACATGTTTCGCAATACGTATTTTTTAAGAAAATGCTCGGCACGCCACCTGACTATTCTTGGGATCAGTATTTCCAGGAGATGGTTATCAATGGTAAATATAAAGACAGCCCACTAATATAAATTTACAATCATGACTACTTGAATTCATAGTTGGTCAAAAAGTCAATTGATGCAAGCGGAATAAAGGGTACTCTTTAGTCTGACAAGTTGGTAAGTATGTGATTGTGGTGTTTGTCTGTTCATTTGTTTCAATAGAAGAACGGTTGCATTTCCCTTTTTAATCAGTGCATTGACTCTACTTAGTTTTAAACAAAAATGTAAAGTTTGTCACTTTAAACGCCAAGTTTCATCCGAGTTTTTAACGATATATACACGTATGTCGAACATTTTCTTTTTACACGTTTTAGACACATTTATGAGCGGCTGGTTTAACTACACAAGAGAAATGGTATCTGCTGTAGAGAAGTACAGTAATGTTATACATGTGCTCTTTGATGACTTGAAACTGGTAAATAGAATTATCAATAAACTAGTATATAGAGAGATAAAAAAACAAACAATTTTTATGAACAAAATCACCCAACCGAACAAAGAACAGAAACACAGAGGTTTAATGAACCAGTCAATCGTACACACACACCCGCGTTAAAATCACTTCCTCGGGAAAAGCACTTTTGTTCTGCATCTTGCAATTGGAAATTTTGGTAATTAGTTACAAATGAAGAAAAAAGTGGAGTTCAAAGCTCCGACAATGGACTAGAATCAACCATGTCATGAAGGCAGTAGTACCGTTAAGACATTCGAAAAATTACATTAAAAAAATGACCCCAACTTTACAGTGGCTGACCAAATTTGTACCGCCTTTCGTCCCGGTTTATCACTTTGAAGAACTTCTTATTGTAAGGATTGACAATTTGTTCACAACTTGAATTTGTATCAGAGATTTTACAATACCGTTAACGCAGCAATAGTTCTTTGCGGGTACCTGAAATTAGCTAAATTTGCCCAAACAATTTTTATGTATCTTCCAGTTTTCTTTATTTAGCACGCTTTGTTATTGTTTGGATAAGCAGCTTTCGGTTCTTTTAATCTGTAATGTTTGGTCGCCTTGGGCGATGCTTATGATTGTCAGGTTAACAACTCAACAAACCAAACGATGTTGTTTAAAAAAAAGGCAATGCTTAGATTATGTGCAATCTTCTACTATAGGTAAATAGGATTGATAATATCGAGTCTGTCTATGTGTGTATGTGAGTTAACAAAGTGTGTTGGTTTAAAAGGTCCGTTCTAAACCCTTATGGGTGTCCTAGAAAACTTCATAGATTTTAGGCTTATCAAATAGACGAAATATAAAGGAAGGTGGTACAAATCTACAGGTTAAACCGGAGTTAAGAATTAAAACCGGAACAAAAGCAACCTTAGCACCCAAAAGAAAAAAATAACAGTCGTAAATATGTACGTTTATAGATTCGTACATGTAAACTTCTATAGAACCCACGTATCGTGGGATTGAGAGCGTTTCCGTATATCATTCCTCCTCGGGGATATTACAAGTGTGAACTGTATTAGGCATGGATGTATTTTTATTTCTGAACAACTATTGTTAATTGTTTCTTTTATGTAATCAATATTTAATTTTCTGCGACCCAAAATCATATTACCTTTTTTTTCTTTCAGAATCAAATTGCCGAAATAAAACGAATTGCAGAATTTTTAGAAGTTCCATATACTAACAAATTAATCGGTGAAATAGCCGATAAATGTGAATTTGATAAACTAAAGACCAATAAGTTAGATGGTACAGCGGAGTATGCCAAAGATAATAAGTCAACACTATTTAGGAAAGGTATTTACAAGTCATGATTGGTAAAGAAATGAAGAGTAAATTTTGAAATAAACAAAATACCCCAACAAGTCTAATTCGTTTGATCATGGTTACTAATACCAGTAAATCAAAGTAACAGAGATTTAGTTATAATTTGATTGAATTCAAAGTAACACCAAATTTGAAACAAACACAAAAGCAACAAGAAGAAAAAAAGGAGGTTTCAATCTATTGTGACAACTTTTTATCAGAACAGATGTTTGTGTAAAATTCCGGGGGTATTTAAAAAGTTTTCATTTGCTAAACATTACCTTCGTCAACCGAAAAAGAAACTTAGATTACTAAATTCTATATTCTAGATTTTGTTATAGTATGCACGTTAAAGTGTCATACATCAACACGAACACCGCCAGCCATGTGATTTTGTATGTGAAAATGTGTTTTGGCACGGAAAAAGAAAATATAACTTTTGTCGAAACTTTTATTTCGTCACTTGGCCATGATGGTGTTTCTTTTCTTTGACTAATGGTTCTTGATTGCCCCCTTGGTACCTTTATAAAATCTGTCCATGATGGTTTTTGTTGTTTTAAGTTGTAAATTTACACAAAATTGGACTGTTATAATGATACGTAACAACAAATTGTCAGGTAATGTAAAGGAATCGTGTCAAACCAAAAGCCATCAGGTGACATAAACATCGTGTGTACACGTGTATTTCCAGAGTTTAGTTTTAGTGATATGCACAAGTTTTCTAAAATGTACAAATAGATAAGTCTCTTTCCCGTGTGCACTACCGAAGAAATGTATATCATAAAGAACTTTAAGAAAATGTGAACATCATGAACAATTCTTCGATCAGTTGATTTTTGCTTAAAAAATAACCAAATATTAATGTTTCACGATAATTGTTTAAAAAAAATCCTGTAATTCAAATTTTATATTTAAGAGATATTTTTTATTTCATAGAAAATTAAACGAGACTTCATTGCATATGATTTTTGTCATTTATTTTTTTAATTCAATGTTTTAAGCAAAATCCTGGCATTAAAAAAAAACCAATATTGAAATTTTAACTTGTGTACAAAAATATGGCATTGATACATTTCAACATTGTATACCCGCCAATATTTATAGACAGAGTTATGGGTTCTGAATAGGACTGATATAGTTGGGTATCCCAAGTTAAATCTGAGTTAACCTGTTTGTATATTGGTCATGGTGGTCATAAAAACTTTAAAGGGACATTAACTTTAAAAGGTACAGAGCATTTATCTATTGTTGTGCATTTTTTTTTTCTCTCGAGACGAAAATGTATTTTTTTCTTAAAAGAATATATTATTTTTCTATATACAGATAAATCATACAGAAAAAAGGGAAAATCTTTAAAAAATTTCAGTGGTAACTATTTTTTTCACTTCACACTTAAAATTATTAACTTTTTATGAAGAAATTTAGAAATAAAACATACCAGAAAATCAACGAAGAAAATAACAGAAACAGCACAAATTCTGCATGAAAAATACAGGTGTTTAAGAAGTATGTAGGACAGATATTCACTGGACAAAAAGTCACAGACAAAAAGTCACGGACAAAAAGTCACAGGACAAAAAATCACAATTCAGTTTTGAGATTATTGTTCTTTGAATAAGAAAATACTTATTTTTAAAAGCACGAATTGTATTTTTATTAAATTATTACGTATAAAGGAACTTTGTTAACAAAATTTATTCTGAAAAAAAACCCAATAATGATCAATATAATTGTTAAGAAAACAATTTGTCAAAGTGGCTTGGTACTTAAATGGCTTCATGGTGTCAAGAATTATATCCTTTGCATGTTTAATATTTGATAAATCTTCATTTATCAAGGATTATGAACGATTTCCTTAACTGTAAAATGAATATAAATAATGAAAAGAAATTATTTCAAGAACTTTCTCTTATATATTCAAACAATTTTAAACAAATTATGTGTGACTTTTTGTTTTGTGACTTTTCGTCCTGTGACTTTCTGTCCGTTTACCGTTTAAGAATACATTTGACACTTCCAAACCCATCCGTCATTTTGAAAAATCCCGAAAAAATCGATTTTTCAAATCGATGTGGGACGTAATTTGCCCTCGATTTCAACTGTTTAAAGTAGAATATTTCGCCAGATATATGTTTTAATATTCTCAATCGAGTTGCAAAGTATTACTTTTATTTACGGAATTTGTGAATTTGATGTACAAGTAGACATAGGGTCGCTAAAATTACCATTGAGTCAACGAGGAAATGACCAGAAAAAGTACGATTTTAACGAATCTACAAGGACGTAATTTAATAAAAAATTAAACCGTCAGAACCAACATTTTTAGGTAGAATTATGTTCGAATACCAAGGATGTAGTTGCAAAAGTTAGAAAACGGGTCAGATTAATGAGAAAATTGACCTTTATTGAAGCACCTATGCATTTTATATGGGACAAAAAGATACAAAATGGCGGCTCGCTACGTCACCAAGGTCACGTGATGTCTTTCTTAGTTGGATATGATGATAATTGTTTTATCTATAAATTCTAAATTCATTAAAATGACATGAAACTAAACATTTTTTAATGTCAAAATGTTTACCTACTATTTTCCTTGATCTTGATCTTGATATTGTACGGTGATACGTCAAATATACATTATTACATCGGCGTCCGTCAAAAATGACCCGAACATGTTTATTGGTAATGAGTCAAGTCATTTATAGTATTAGGGGCCAACTGAATTCGAGCGAGTCTGTTCTGGTTTGAAGTCTGAGGAAATGATACCTGTGAATATATTTGGTGAGCTTAGTAGTTCATTCTTTTATGTAAAAGTAAGTAAAAGTAAAACATGTATAATACAAATTTCGTACGCGTGACACATGTTTAATTGATTAAAAATCAACATGTAAGCTGATAAAATACTTAGAACGTTTTCGAACATCAAAACAGAAAAAGTATTTAACAAATCAGTTAAATCCTAAAAGCATTACATAATGCGCTAATCAATATTATCACTCGATAATGGAAGGTACAAGGGTGGTGTCAGGTTGGTTAGAGGCAACAGTATTCCACCGAAGTTCAAATCTCAAAAATTCATTTTGAAAATACAAATCAAGGTAAAAAAGATAATAATACTCAGGGAATGACATGAACTCCAAAACAGAGCGAGACCGGGTCTTCTGCTATCAGAACTAGCTATTTGTTTAGAGATTTGAAAATTAATGAATGAAGTTAATGTGTAAGACGTATATCAAAATTGTATATTGTATATTGCTTTGTAGGGATCATTGGTGATTGGAAAAACTGGTTTACAGTAGCGCAAAATGAACAGTTTGATGAAATGTACAAGCACGAAATGAAAGACGTCAGCATATCATTTATATATGAAGATCCCTCAGGAAAAAAAAATTAAAAAATGAGTGATAGTTCTGTTGTAAAATAAGCTAATTCATACGTGTTTCTCGTTTCTCGTTTTTATATAGATTAGACCGTTGGTTTTTCCGTTTGAATGGTTTTACACTAGTAATTTTTTTGGGGCCCTTTATAGCTTGCTGTTCGGTGTGAGCCAATGCTCCGTGTTGAAGGCTGTACCTTGATCTATACTGGTTTACTTTTATAAATTGTAACTTGGATGGAGAGTTGTCTCATTGGCATTCATACCACATCTTCCTATATCTATAAACAATAAATTTTTGAACTTAAGTTTTATTACTAGTTTCGCCAGTAATGCTTTTTATTACAACATTGATTGGTGAATACATTGCCTCATCAACTTCTTATAATGTTTTAGACTAAAACTTCATTTTGCAAGTAGTTCAAATATTATGTAATGAATAATGAGTTCAAAAACAAATGAATCTTATACATATGATGCGTGCACAATAGGAGATATTTTCCGATATCCTATCGGGTGTTGACGGGTGTACTCTTTATGCTGTTCCAATTGTTTGCAATCCCATGTTTGTCAGCTAATACCTATACTAAGAGGTTTCAACAAATGTTTGAATCTCAAACAAATTCAAAAGGAGCTGCTAGCAGTCAATATGAACTTCAATGTATGTACCGGCGACAAAGCAGCCAACAATGTGGCCTCTTCTGAACATTTGAAGGTCCCTACTATGTATTGGTTACCGAAACTAGATAAAAAACCAGTAAAAGATCGCTTCATCTAGGCTTCTAGTAAGTGTTCTACAACTAATCTTTCAGTGCTTTTAACTAGTCCCTTAACTACTATCAAAGAACTTATCATTTACTTTTGTAATAAAATATATGAAAATAGTGGAATTAACTATTTTTGAAGTGTAAAAATTCTTTGGATGTTTTAGATAAATTACGTGCTTTTGATGGTCCTTTTGATTCTGTTGACAGTTTTGAATTTTCAACTCTTTACACTACACTACCACACAATCTTATCAAACAAAAGTTTTCCTATTAAATCAAATGCTCGTTTGGTAAATCTGAATGCAAATATATTTGTTGCAACTCATTTAAAACCTTCTCTAATGAGAAAGATAACTATGCTAGATATACTTACTGGAGGTGTGATGAGATGATTGAAGCAGTTAACTTTTTCCTTGATAATATTTATGTACGTTTCGGCAATAAAATTTATCGACAGGTTGTAGGTATTCCTATGGGCACCAATTGCGCCCCTTTAATAGCAGACTTGTTCTTGTATTGTTATGAATCACAGTTTATGACCAAACTCATGACCCATCTAAATTGCATTTAATTGATAAATTCAACAACACTTACCGTTATCTTGATGACATTTTTTCGTTAAATAATCAAAATTGTTCTAAATATACTGCCGAAATTTACCCAAAGGAACTAACTTTAAATAAATCAAATATAAACGGTAATAACTGTCCTTTCCTAGATTTAGATATTTCAGTTTTACACGGAAAACTCTACACTAAAATTTACGACAAAAGGGACGATTTTTCGTTCCCTATTGTTAATTTTCCCTTTTTTTGACCGTGATGTTCCTTTGGCACCATCTTACGGTGTTTCTATATCACAACTCGTTCGCTATGCCGTGTCTGTTGTGACATTTTGGATTTCAATTAACGTAATCTATGTATTACTGGTAAATTATTAAGTCAGGGATTTCTTTAACACAAATTACTTAAAGCCTTTACTAAATTCTTCCATAGATATAAAGATTTAGTTTTGAAGTTTGGTTGTACCTTTAGAAAACTTATTTCAAACGGGATAGCACATCCTAATTTTAACGGAGATGTTGTTTACCGAGCCCGGAAATTTAAATACGATCCGGGAAAACTTATCGATCCTTTAAATAAACTTATTTTAAAAGGTTACCAATTCAACACTGTAATTAGATCTTTGAATATTGTTTTTATTGGTATTAATATTAATTTTGTTATCAGTAAATTAAATTCAAACAATTTAGTATTTTTATATACATATAGATATAAGAAGATGTGATATGAGTGCCAATGAGACAACTCTCCGTCCAAGTCACAATTTGTAAAAGTAAACCGTTATAGGTCAAAGTACGACCTTCAACACGGAGCCTTGGCTCACACCGAACAGCAAGCTATAAAAGGCCCCAAAAATGATATGCAAATTCATGGCTCTACAATCTGTCGATATCGGTATCTTGGCATTGCACAAGGTCATATTGTTCTCTGACTTTTAATGACGTCTTTACACTAAATCCACCAGATGTTGGATGTGTACTGATTGATATTTTAGTCTTAGATGAATACTTTGTTTTATTAGTTCTTTTTGGCTTTGAACTAGCTGTCAGTAACTGCGAGTACTCTCAAATCTGTACTTAGTGTCATTTTGTTGTGGGGATGTATAAGTACCATGCCACGTCCACTCTGTTTTTGTTATATGTACTTTTGTGTGTATCCATCTGATGAGTTAAGCCTTTTTCAACTGATTTCTATATTTGGTCTTATATAGAAATAAGGAAACGTGGTATGAGTGCCAATTAGACAACACTCCATCCAAGTCACAATGTGTAAAAAGTTAACAATTATAGGTCAAAGTACGGCCTTCAACACAGAGCCTTGGCTCACACCGAGAAACACTTATGAACCGCATCAACAAACGACAACCAATGAACAACAGGTTCCTGACTTAGGATAGGTGCAAACAAATACAGCGGGTTTAAACGTTTTAACAGGCGCCAACCTTCACCCTACCCTGAAACAGTAGTGTAACATTACAACATAGAAAGACACACTATAAAATGTCAATTGAAATGGCTTAACTCGACATATTAACAAAAACAAATAAACATACACTGAACGAATAAATTTGATCTATGACACAATATAAATACAATATCAATAAAAAACGGGGGATGTAAAACAATATCAAAAAGACAACAATAACCTGGGACAAAACATATGTTGTCTTGTTACACCACTGTCCCAGGTTAGGGGGAAGGTTGAGCGCCCGCTAACATGTTTAACACCGCCACATTCTGTATGTGCCTGTCCCAAGTCAGAAGCCTGTAATTCAGTGGTTGTCGTTTGTTTCTGTGTATCATATTTGTTTTTCGTTCATTATTTTGAACATGAATTAGGCCATACGTTTTCTCGTTTGAATTGTTTTGCATTTGTCATTTCGGGGCCTTTTATAGCTGACTATGCGGTATGGGTTTTGTTTATTGTTGAAGGCCGTACGGTGATCTATAGTTGTTAATTTCTGTGTCATTTGGTCTCCAGTGGAGAGTTGTCTCGTTGGCAATCATATGACATCTTATTTTTATATTCAAACATGGTTTTAGAGATGTTGTTTGTGTCGAAATTGTCTGCTGAACCATAACATTTTTTTAGCATGTTGTGTACTAGCATATAACAATCCGTCTTCAACAAGGGAAAATCGTTCATGAAATGTTAAAATGTTCAAAACGCTGAAGTTTTTCTATCCCCAAGTATATATTAACTTAGTCGTATCTAGTACAACTTTTAATAATTTCGGTTATTAATGCTCTTTTATTTTGTATTTAATATTATTTGCAACTGTTGTGTTCGAGAGCCACGGATGAGTCTTATGTAAACGAAATGCACTTTTTAGACTGTATTAGAGACTACTTTTTAAGCAGATGATAGACAAACCAAAGAGAAACTGTAAACACAAAGAGCTTTCAATATGACTCAAAGGGGCCTTCTATGAACAGCCAAAATGATCTAAAGTTAAGCTTGCATAAGGGAGTTGAGACCTTAATTTCTGAAGAATTTCTAAATTGATCAACCGAAAACTTAAGGTTTCTTATAAATCATATCAGTGGCAAAGAACTGAGCTTATGAAATTCTCCCAGGGACCAAAAGTCCACCAGCAGTGGTATTGTAGACGAAACATACGTCTGACACAACCAATTGCAAGCCTGGTATCTTTGATGAGTTTATTTATCGAACCAGTGCCAAAGAATGGAAATAACAAGTAGTGGTGCTCCCGAAGCGCTTTCCTGGATTTACCTTCATCAGGAACGCTTTAAACAAAAAAAGGAAAGTTGAATATGTATGAATACTTGATGATCTTTATAACAAAATGGGGCCTAAAATGAATGACAGAAACCATCTTAGGTCAACTGTGCCTGAAAAAGTTGAAACCTTGGAATGTTAAGTTCTAGAAATCAAAAAAAAAAAAAAATAATTACTTCACAGCAGAATTTCGAATGTTATATCAAAATTTAAATTTGAATGGGAAGAAATGCTAGAAGAAACGGATAAAGAGACGGTCACTAATTTTGTATCAATGAACAAATATATGTATTTAAAAAAAAAGGTATCGAGCAAGAATTATGATGATATCCCTAAAGCATAGAACTGCCACTTGGAAGAGACTCATGGCATTGAAGTTTTCGAACAAAAGAGAAATTGTTAGTACCAAAGATAGAAGCAAAGCAAAATCAACTGCTAAGTATCAGAAGAGAGAGTATGAAAGAACATAGCTGAGTCAGCTAAATCAACTGATTAAATGCATGGTCATTTGTAAATTCTAAATGAAAAAAAAATGGTATATCTGAGTAACAAAACATAAGAGATAGTAAAGTTATGATACATTAAAATCTGAATTCTTTACCCGAATATTTACAAAGGAGTGACGAAGCCAATACGTTGTTAAAGAATATAAAGACTTTTGTCTGAGATTATTTTTAATAGCCCGCATGCAGCTCTATATTATGAACTTTTGTAAGATAGAAGTGTTTCTCTGACTTAACATGGACAACTATAATGCCATGAAAGCAGGATCCATTACGTGTTGTATGTATGCAATTTTAGCATTATACATCACCTACTTTGCATGACGTCTCTATTAATGACTTGCTGCCATTTATACAAAAGCCGTTAGGTATTCATCACATTCGCACGAAACTGTATTCATTACCCCTTTCAAAACTTCATTCTCTGTTCAATTTATGTTTGGAAACCACTGTTACAAACCCTCATTCAAACCAATACAAACTTACAGCTA